TGGCGACGCACACCGTAGGCTTGGTGCGAGGAGCAGGGACAGGCCAGACCGGGCTGGCGACGCACACCGTAGGCTTGGTGCGTGGAGCAGGGACAGGCCGAACCGGGCTGGCGACGCACACCGTAGGCTTGGTGCGAGGAGCAGGGACAGGCCGGACCGGGCTGGCGACGCACACCGTAGGCTTGGTGCGTGGAGCAGGGACAGGCCGAACCGGGCTGGCGACGCACACCGTAGGCTTGGTGCGTGGAGCAGGGACAGGCCGAACCGGGCTGGCGACGCACACCGTAGGCTTGGTGCGAGGAGCAGGGACAGGCCGGACCGGGCTGTGGAGACGGATAGGAGACCTGGAGTGGAGAGCTGCCACAACCCGTCCTGGCTGAATGCCTACCCTCACACACTCTGTGTGAGGCATCAGCACAGGACGTACAGGGCTGTGTACCCGTACTGGCATAACAGCACGTGACACGGGCGCAGGATATCCGGGACCGAGGAGAGGCACTGGAGGCCACGAGCGCTGAGCCGGCACACTCCGTCCTGGCTGCATGCCCACCTTCGCACAACACGTGCGGGGTGCTCGCACAGGACGTACCGGACTATGCCGGACCACTCGTGGCACAGTGCGCAGCTCCGCATACCACGGAACCTGCCCAGTCTCATGCTGCCATGCCTGAGTACGGGGAGTTGGCTCTGCTCTCCATCCAGGCTCCGCCAACCTGCCTTCTGGCCCCCAAAACCCGGTGGCCTCCTCTCCTAATCTCCCAATTCGCCCTGTGGCAGCCTCCTGCTGCCCAGTTGCCCATGCCGTGTGCCCCCCCCCCTAAAAAATTATTGGGGGTGCCTCTCGCCTGTCCGACCACGGCCCGGTTGACGCCGCTTCTCCACTCCTGCCTGGGTCTCCCCCTTCATCGCCTTCCGGTACCGGACGGCCTCCTCCTTCGTAATCTGTCCCCAGCCGAGGAGGACATCCACCAGCGTTACCTCCTGCGTGTGTTCCTGGACACGCTGCTTGGTCCTGGTATGGTGGGTTCTTCTGTCACGATCGTCGTATACAGAGGAGGACCAAGGCGCAGCGTTGCAGGCAAACATACTCTTTATTAGAGACACGATCAAAAACAACAAAACGATAACGTGACAGTTCACGGTCTAACACAACAGACTAGAAACAAGAACCCACAAACACAAAGGGAAAACAGACAGTATAAATATGGCTCCCAATCAGAGACAACCAGCCACAGCTGACACTCGTTGCCTCCGACTGGGAGTCACTCAGGCCAACATAGAAATAAACAAACTAGAACTCCCAACATAGAAATACAACACCTAGAATGAACACACCCTGGCTCAACATATATAGTCCCAGAGCCAGGGTGTGACAGTAAAGGAACAGTCCAGCAGGCATCAGCTGTGCAGCTGAGTGATCATAAGGTCCAGTGAACAGCAATATGTGAGTCCGAGAGCAGTTCAAATTGGTGCTTCAGCACAGCTAGCAGGGAGCACAGTTGTAGTTTGCATGTGCTAGCGGGCCGGGGCTGGCAGATGGATCTTCGTGGTCGTCGCAACGGGAAGCCTGTTGAAACCACATCAGACTATTTCGTCGGCAAACCAGTCGTGTTGGATCGGCGGGGCTCAGTGTCAACACTAGGAGGTCCCGTCCGGTTGACAGAGAGGTAGATAGCCGGGAGATGGGCCTGAGGCTAGCTCAAGGCTAACTGGTGCTTGCTATAGGGCAATGGTAATCAGCCAACAACAGGTTGCAGCTAGCTAGCTGGTTGTGATGATCCGGCGCTAGGGTCCAGTGATTCCGGCAGAAAGTCCAATAAGCTCTGGGTCGATAGCACGCTGGGTCGATAGCACGCTGTGCAGACTGGCCGACGAATTGTCCAGGCTAGAGCTAGAGCTGGCTGGTGGATAGTGTAGGCCACGGACAGTGGTGAAGACGCTAACGTTGACTAATAGCAGGTAGCCATTCAGATTGCGGCTACACTCGTTTCAGCTTACGGTTCTTGATGAAAGTTATAAAGAAATAATAGAATCCTTTCCACGTTGGGTGAGGCGGGTTGCAGGAAAGTATATTTAGTTAAAGAATGAAAGTAAAAAATTGAGAAATATATACAAAATAGACAAAAAAAACAAGAAACGGGATATTTACACAGGACAATGAAATAAAAGCGACCGCACTGCTACACTGCTATATGTGTATAGGCAACTGAGTTCATAATGTTACGTCTGCAGTAAAGTAGTAAAGTCTTCACAATATCCCATTAAAAAGGACTCCTCATTGCTTCTCAAAAAAAGAGAAGGAACTTCTTACCCATTTTTTGTCTTGTTTGTGTTTATTGGTGCCCTTGTTAAAATTCAGTAATGGGTGGCTCCCACTCAAACTGTACATTGCGATCAAGGCCTTTTGTTGTGTGTCTATGTGTGTCTATGTGTGTGTGTGTGTGTGTGTGTGTGCCCATCCTCCATGTCTTTCATTTCTCAGCTCTCTATATGTGCGCGTCCAATCGCTACCCCTCACATACACAGCCTAATTAGGCCTTTGTAGAGGACTTAGGAACAGCTATTCTATGCAGCCTGTGAAAATCTTTCCTTTTCTGTTCCCTATCTACTCTCCTTACTTAATTCTTCATCTCGGCTCTGATCTGTAGCTTGTTACAGACAGCATTCTCACCCAAAAGCCATTCTCTATACCCGTCATGTAGCAACTCTTTTGTGTCTGTCTGCCCTCACAAATGTGTCTGCACCATTCATAGATTAGTTGTTTTTAGACTAATGTTTAGAATGTGTTGCACAATGGCAGACCTAAACAAAAGGCTACATTAAACATCAAAAGAAGAAGCAAATGCTCATCCATCATATAATGTTTATTGAACTCTCATATGCTGCAGGATTCATCAGAAGGACACCATAGTACTAAAGTTAGCGATACAGACTGTGCAATACTGTGGCATGCTAAAACTCTCTGAAACTCCAAATCACTGATGTGTAGGTGGATATCCTAAAATAAATGCTTCTGCCTGGAGCAAGACACATTAAGCACATTATAGTATTCAGGTAGAGCTCTTTTCAGATGAAAGCCTTCACCCCTTCAATTAATATACAGTGGGGGAAAAAAGTATTTAGTCAGCCACCAATTGTGCAAGTTCTCCCACTTAAAAAGATGAGAGAGGCCTGTAATTTTCATCATAGGTACACATCAACTATGACAGACACAATGAGATTTTTTTTCTCCAGAAAATCACATTATAGGATTTTTAATGAATTTATTTGCAAATTATGGTGGAAAATAAGTATTTGGTCAATAACAAAAGTTTCTCAATACTTTGTTATATACCCTTTGTTGGCAATGACACAGGTCAAACGTTTTCTGTAAGTCTTCACAAGGTTTTCACACACTGTTGCTGGTATTTTTGCCCATTCCTCCATGCAGATCTCCTCTAGAGCAGTGATATTTTGGGTCTGTCGCTGGGCAACACGGACTTTCAACTCCCTCCAAAGATTTTCTATGGGGTTGAGATCTGGAGACTGGCTAGGCCACTCCAGGACCTTGAAATGCTTCTTACGAAGCCACTCCTTCGTTGCCCGGGCGGTGTGTTTGGGATCATTGTCATGCTGAAAGACCCAGCCACGTTTCATCTTCAATGCCCTTGCTGATGGAAGGAGGTTTTCACTCAAAATCTCACGATACATGGCCCCATTCATTCTTTCCTTTACACGGATCAGTCGTCCTGGTCCCTTTGCAGAAAAACAGCCGCAAAGCATGATGTTTCCACCCCCATGCTTCACAGTAGGTATGGTGTTCTTTGGATGCAACTCAGCATTCTTTGTCCTCCAAACACGACGAGTTGAGTTTTTACCAAAAAGTTCTATTTTGGTTTCATCTGACCATATGACATTCTCCCAATCCTCTTCTGGATCATCCAAATGCACTCTAGCAAACTTCAGATGGGCCTGGACATGTACTGGCTTAAGCAGGGGGACACGTCTGGCACTGCAGGATTTGAGTCCCTGGCGGCATAGTGTGTTACTGATGGTAGGCTTTGTTACTTTGGTCCCAGCTCTCTGCAGGTCATTCACTAGGTCCCCCCGTGTGGTTCTGGGATTTTTGCACACCGTTCTTGTGATCATTTTGACCCCACGGGGTGAGATCTTGCGTGGAGCCCCAGATCGAGGGAGATTATCAATGGTCTTGTATGTCTTCCATTTCCTAATAATTTCTTCCACAGTTGATTTCTTCAAACCAAGCTGCTTACCTATTGCAGATTCAGTCTTCCCAGCCTGGTGCAGGTCTACAATTTTGTTTCTGGTGTCCTTTGACAGCTCTTTGGTCTTGGCCATAGTGGAGTTTGGAGTGTGACTGTTTGAGGTTGTGGACAGGTGTCTTTTATACTGATAACAAGTTCAAACAGGTGCCATTAATACAGGTAACGAGTGGAGGACAGAGGAGCCTCTTAAAGAAGAAGTTACAGGTCTGTGAGAGCCAGAAATCTTGCTTGTTTGTAGGTGACCAAATACTTATTTTCCACCATAATTTGCAAATAAATTCATAAAAAATCCTACAATGTGATTTTCTGGAAAAAAAATTCTCAATTTGTCTGTCATAGTTGACGTGTACCTATGATGAAAATTACAGGTCTCTCTCATCTTTTTAAGTGGGAGAACTTGCACAATTGGTGGCTGACTAAATACTTTTTTCCCCCACTGTATATATTTTTAAAAATTCCGTTTTCTATCTGTGTCTTATCTACAGTAGCATTACATTATTATTCCTGGAACTTCTCAACATCCTCTTTAAACCGTATATATCCAGCTAGTCCTGCACTTAAAACAGATTTGTCTATTTCATAATAATTTCATAATATATCATCAGGTGTGTCTGTGATAATGCTGCTCTCGTTACACAATGCGTTGTTTTCATAAAATACGAAGAGCGATAAATGTGGCCTTAAGGACCTTTGAGTAATACCGTCTCTTCTTGTCTGATTTGGCAGGATCTGGGCATGGAGGGCACGTCCCTCAATGACATCTTATATAAGAATGCTGCTTTTCTCAACCTGGTGGATCCCATCTCCCATGAGCTGCTGCTAAGCCTGGCTCGCGAGATGCAGTGTCCTAAGAAGGTAAGATCTCTACAAAACTTATCTCATGGTGTATTGTCTGCTTAGCTTGGAATCAAACTTCCAAAAATCAAGATGTCAACAGAATAAGTATCATCATGAATAGAAGGATACGCTGTTCCATTACAATCAGTAATGGGGAAAGTCTTCCACATTTGCCATGCAACTGCTTCTCCTCGTGGTTTGGCTTTATAATTATTGGTGCTATATAGGGTTGCAAAGCTACCGGTAATTTACCAAAGTTAGCAGAATCTTCTGTAATTTTGGTAATTAACAGAAAATATATGGCAATCTATGGTAACTTTGGTAATTTATCCTTGGATAACTCATATATAGTATTAATTGTTATATCTGTGTCCATATTGTCCATGTGTTTCTAGTAGATAGACCATATGGTTCAAGAGAAAATATATTATAATAATATATGCCATTTAGCAGACGCTTTTATCCAAAAGCGACTTACAGTCATGTGTGCATACAAAAATAGCTTAGTTAGTGACAAAAGCATCTAATCAACAATGGCATTATTTTCAATTAACTCTGCAACTCTTCCAACTATTGACTTTTTCACAACTGCCACCAGTCTGATGCCAAAACATTGACAACAAATACATATTGACATAGTAAAATAAATACAAGTGTGTAAAGAAATATATAAAGGATTCATGCTGAAACCCTCATATTAAACACCAATGGTATTCACTAAGTTGATGATTTATATTTAGGATCATGTTTTACAGCTTTGTCGTTATATAATTATTTCACATATTTTACATGTGATAAAGCCACATAGAGGGTTCAGAGATAATTACGGACACCTGTCATAATCGGAAGTACCCAAAAAGGCCACTAGATGTAATCTTATAATATTCAAAATAAACCTTGAAAGTTACCGAAATTCTGGCAGTTTACTGGTACACTTCGGAAGTTTCCAGTAATATACCCTCCCTTTGCAACCCTAGTGCTATAATAATGTCAGTGTATTATTACCAGGAAAGAAGATGAGTAGGCGGCCAGTACGTTGCAATAACCTTTAGTGAACTATTAACACTTCCTATATGTATTAATTAGTAATTTTTTTCTGTTAATAGTTCACTAAAGTTTATTGCAACGTGCTGGCCGCCTTCTCGTCTTCTTTTTCAGATGATCTGCCATTTAGGGGCCTACCTTCCCACTGCCCTCTTCTCACCTGTGTATTATTACCATACAGAGGAGCTGGATGTTGTTTGCATAGAAAGATTGATAAAACAATGACATAATAATTGTTCCATTTTGCGACAGTTACACATTGAGTTGAAATGGGATGTGGATGCCAAAAGTAACCGACTTTACATAACAGACAACGGATAGAAAAAACAAGAAAAAAGTGTACACTAGATTTAGTATTGAATCTGGCCTCTTTATTTCCTCACCATGACTCCTGTTTTCCACACTGTTGCACACCAGCTCTGATTAAATTTATTCCAGCAAGGCACCTAAATTGTGTTTTGCTCAGGAACAGCTCAAGGCAACAGTCTCAAAGTAAGACAAAATAACAGAACCTCTTTCCTGTTATTTTGAACGGTTTTGAACTACTTAAGACTAAAGGAACACTGAGGTGGAAATGTCCTTCCATGATCTAAAGCTGTACCTCAATCAAGAAAGCTCTGGTACAATGTATGTCAAAAGTTGTATTTTGCTTATACGTGGTCTCAAAGAGTAACAACCATATTTAGAACTAAACTAAAAAGAGGGCCTCTGGTATTCTTTTGTTGTTACACTTAACGTTTCATTCAGTGTTTTGGGGATTTATCTTTGAGCCTTTCTTTCCCCAGAAGGATGCTGACACCATCAAGTCATCAGATAAGATCTGCAGACAGCTGATCTACCACCTGACACCTCACTCTAAGTGGCTCAGACAGAGCATGTCCAGGCGGAAGTCTCAGGCCTGGTAAGCTCCTCCGTCTAGCCATTAGTCTTTCACACATAAAGCCCTTGCTCCATGCTCCCTAACTATGTAAACTGCCCAAATGCTAACACCACCATCTAAAATGGTGCCAGTGCCACAGCCAGACCTCTGACAACCACCCTAAGTGGGGTTTGAGTGGGTTTGTCTGACATTTAATAGGGCTGGGACACAGCAGCCTCTGGGCTTGCCAGGCAGGTCAGGACCACAGAGGCAACCAGAAGTGTCAATCATTCCTCTGTGTGGTGCTGTTGTCACCACAGCAATGGTTTGTGCAATGGCATCAGTCCTCTTTGACTCAGAACAGTCTCCATACAGACAGTAGCCTGCCTACAAACGTGGCCAGTTTGGTTGGGATGAAATAGAGGGGTTGTATAGAAATAAGATCCATTGGCTCCTTTGATGAAAACACAGTCTTTGTATCAACATGTTATTTTTTTTGTAATCTTTGATGTGCAAATCATGAAAATGGAAATAGCTTGCAAATGAATTGACAGGTTATTCTGTTTCCAGGTCTTTAGTAATTATATTGATAAAAAATAAGCAGGATATGATTACGCTTCTTCCAGTATTTGCTCATTTTACATTTTTACAGATGAATAGACAGTGGAAACAATGCATTTTCTAAAGAGGAAATGATCAGTAATAGAAAATAAGCGGAAGAGAACACTGATGAGTCAGGCTCATTGTGCTTCAGTCTGAGGTAACAGCACTGAAATACAGACAGAATAATAAGGAAGTAAGAAAAGGATAGTAACAAAAGGATAGTAACTTAAGGGTCAATTTAAACAATACATTGATTCACACGTCGCCTTGTCTTGCTGTACAACTACATTTAAACCCACGCAGGGCTTTGATGTGCCTGCAGACTTTGAAGTTTGAAGTTTTAATGTCACGTGCACAAGTACAGAGAAATACCTTTCTTGCCAGCTCCAAACCCAACAATGCAGTAATCAATATCAATGTAGCACTAAAAAGAACAAAGGTACGAGAAATAAGAAGAACACGAGAAAGTAAGAAGCTATATACAGGGTCAATTCCAGGGTCAGTTCCAATACCATATTTACAATGTGCAGGGATACTGGAGTGATATAGGTATATATGTATAGGGGTAAGGTGAGTAGGCATCAGGATATATGATAAACAGAGTAGCAGCAGCGTAAATGATGATTTTATGTGAGTGTGTGTAATGGCAGTGAGGGAAAAAAGTATTTGATCCCCTGCTGATTTTGTACGTTTGCCCACTGACAAAGAAATGATCAGTCTATAATTTTAATGGTAGGTTTATTTGAACAGTGAGAGACAGAATAACAACAAAAAAATCCAGAAAAACGCATGTCAAAAATGTTATAAATTGATTTGCATTTTAATGAGGGAAATAAGTATTTGACCCCTCTGCAAAACATGATTTAGTACTTGGTGGCAAAACCCTTGTTGGCAATCACAGAGGTCAGACGTTTCTTGTAGTTGGCCACCAGGTTTGCACACATCTCAGGAGGGATTTTGTCCCACTCCTCTTTGCAGATATTCTCCAAGTCATTAAGGTTTCGAGGCTGACGTTTGGCAACTCGAACCTTCAGCTCCCTCCACAGATTTTCTATGGGATTAAGGTCTGGAGACTGGCTAGGCCACTCCAAGACCTTAATGTGCTTCTTCTTGAGCCACTCATTTGTTGCCTTGGCCGTGTGTTTTGGGTCATTGTCATGCTGGAATACCCATCCACGACCCATTTTCAATGCCCTGGCTGAGGGAAGGAGGTTCTCACCCAAGATTTGACGGTACATGGCCCCGTCCATCGTCCCTTTGATGCGGTGAAGTTGTCCTGTCCCCTTAGCAGAAAAACACCCCCAAAGCATAATGTTTCCACCTCCATGTTTGATGGTGGGGATGGTGTTCTTGGGGTCATAGGCAGCATTCCTCCTCCTCCAAACACGGCAAGTTGAGTTGATGCCAAAGAGCTCCATTTTAGTCTCATCTGACCACAACACTTTCACCCAGTTCTCCTCTGAATCATTCAGATGTTCATTGGCAAACTTCAGACGGGCCTGTATATGTGCTTTCTTGAGCAGGGGGACCTTGCGGGCGCTGCAGGATTTCAGTACTTCACGGCGTAGTGTGTTACCAATTGACATCCTTGAAGAGCTCTTTGGTCTTGGCCATGGTGGAGAGTTTGGAATCTGATTGATTGATTGCTTCTGTGGACAGGTGTCTTTTATACAGGTAACAAGCTGAGATTAGGAGCACTCCCTTTAAGAGAGTGTGCTCCTAATCTCAGCTCGTTACCTGTATAAAAGACACCTGGGAGCCAGAAATCTTTCTGATTGAGAGGGGGTCAAATACTTATTTCCCTCATTAAAATGCAAATCAATTTATAACATTTTTGACATGCGTTTTTCTGGATTTTTCTGTTGTTATTCTGTCTCTCACTGTTCAAATAAACCTACCATTAAAATTATAGACTGATAATTTCTTTGTCAGTGGGCAAATGTACAAAATCAGCAGGGGATCAAATACTTTTTTCTCTCACTGTAAGTGTGTGTGCATGTTATCTGTGTGTTATAGTGTCAGTGTGCGTGAGTGTGTAGAGCAGGGGCGCAACTTTCACTGGGGATGGGGGGACATGTCGTGTCCCCCCCCCCCCCCCCCCCCATATTCTGAAATGGCATTTTGGTCCCCCACAGTTTTATCATTGGAATGTCATACAAAACAAGGCAACGGTGTGCTTTAGGATCATGCGGACGCCCCCGAGCGGTCGGGTAGGCTGTTTGGAGTGTTTATCTGACTGGATAAAAAAATATATATATTATTATTATTATGTCCCACCCCATTTCTTAAACCAAAGTTGCGCCCCTGTGAGTGTGCATAGAGACAGTGCAAAAATAAAAAATGTATACAAGGGTCAACTCAGAAGTCACCCTGATTTAGGAGAGACATTAGATTAGGTTGAGACTGACTCACTCACAGCGAGTATGTGAGGACATATTCCCATGTTGAACTTGTAGCTGAAGTGGTTATTTTCACTGAGGCATTCAGTTGGTTCCATAACACCTGCAGAGAGAGACTGTCTCACACAGTCTGAGGTAGGCAGCAGGACAAGCATTAGTCATCACCTCCCATCGCTTTTATGTTCAGCTCTAAGGAAACTACACTCACCCATATGCAATACTTAAATGGCACTTTGTAAGGCGTTCCCGTATTCAGAGTTAATTGAGTTGTAGCAAAGCATAAAATAAAGGATTTCTGTTTCTGGCCAAATATACTTGAACCCAGATATTATCAAAGGAGCTCATTTAACAGTCACAAATCTAATGCTATGCAATGCACACAATTATACCACACTGCTAAACTAATTCGGAATAACCACCGACTATGAAGTTTCATTACAATACATCTAGCTGCTATAGCTACATCCAAAGATATTTCATGACATATTCTATTTAAAAATTGTTTTTTTCTCTCCCGGCTAATTTGCAAATTCGTCTTCATAGGTTTAGACATACTTTTATTTGTATACTGCCGTAAATTAGATTAATGAGGATACAGGTTTAGTATTTGTATTTATTATGGATCCCCATTAGCTGCTGCCAAGGCAGCAGCTACTCTTCCTGGGGTCCAGCAAAATTAAGGCAGTTATACATTTTAAATACATTCATAACAGATTTCACAACATATTAAGTGTGTGCCCTCAGGCCTCTACTCTACTACCACATATCTATAACACAAAATCCATGTGTACATGTGTGTATAGTGCGTATGTTATCGTGTGTTTGTATGCATGTGTCTATGTTTGTGTTACTTCACAGTCCCCAATGTCTGTTTTATAAATCTAATTTTACTGCTGGCATGAGTTACTTGATGTGTAATAGAGTTCCATGTAGTTCCATGTAGTATACAGTATCTGAGGCCCATCATAACATGGCAGGTCAATCTACAGGGACCCTGTATACACAGGAGGAGGGGGACCTGGCATGGCCACTTCCTCTCTATCTGTCTGTCACATGTTGAAATGTCAGACCTGCAGCAAGCCAGCAGGAGTGCAGCAGACACCTGGGGTGAGGAGGGGGAAATAAGGGGTGGTAACCTGACTGATCAGTCTGACTCGACTTGACATTCTGCTCCTGTCCCACTGCTCTGAGTTTTACTGTGGTTGTGAAGGGAAAATATGAATGACATGTTTACTGTTTAAAGAGCAATGCTTAAAACATGAATGACTTTGCAAAAACAAAATGATGTGAGCTGTGCAGTAGCCCAGGGGAGATATGGGGAGAAATTATTCTCAACTATAGTGCATAGCAGTATTACTTTTTCATGGCCATCTGCCTCTGTAGGGGCTCTTCATTTTGACAGTCACTATATTTAGCAGTTTACCCTGCCTAGGTAATTAAAAACAGTATTTTTGTATTGATTCTGCTTCATTTATGACTGAATCCTGGTATCCACTTATCATTGCTCCAATTACATTTATGAATGCTCAAGTAGCCTAGTTTCAATTATTTCATATTCCTGGAAATGTCAGACCTAGATTGGGACACAATTTTACAGCAACCCTCAGACCCTCATAAGAAATTCCTCTGGATTTAATGACCACAATATAAATTCCTTGAAAAGGGCCGTAAAGGAGTGCAGGGCTCAATTAAGATCCTGTTTCTACACTCTTAGAAAAAAAGGTGCTATCTAGAACATAAAAGGGTTCTTCTGCTGTCCCCATAAGAGAACCCTCTGAAGAAGCCTTTTTGGTTCCAGGTAGAACCCTATTGGGTTCCACATAGAACCCTTTCTCCAGAGGGTTCTACATGGAACCGCAAATAGTTGTACCTGGAACCAAAGAGGGTTCTACCTGGAAATAAAAAGGGTTATTCTATGGGGACAGCCGAAGATCCCTTCTGGAACCCTTTTTGAGAGAGAGAGAGAGAGAGCGAGAGAGAGAGAGAGAGAGAGAGAAGAGAGAGATCTAGAGAGAGAATAGAGACGAGCTATCTAGAGAGAGAAGAGCGAGATGAAGAGAGATAGATCTAGATATATCTCTATCCATCTATATAGAGATCGCGAGATATATTCTCTCTCTTCTCTCTCTCTCTCTCTCTCTCTCCTCTTTCTCCTCTCTCTACTGCTCTCTCCTCTCCCCTCTCTTCTCTGTCTCTCTCTCTCTCTCTCTCTCCTCTTCTCTCTCTCTCTCTCTCTCTCTCTTCTCTCTCCTCTCTCTCTCTCTCCTCACTCTCTCTGCCTCTCCTACTCGCTCTCTCTCCTCTCTCTCTCTCTAACTTCTCGCTCTCTCCTCTGCTCTCTCTCTACTTCGTACTCTTCTCTCTCTCTCTCTCTCTTCTTCTCTTCTCGTCCTCATCATCTCTAGAGAGAGAGAGAGAGAGAGCAGGCTCCACAGACAGGACTTGTATTATTAAACTCACATTAGAGAGTCATATGTTCACCTTTGTGTCACAGCACTGCTGTAACACTTACATGTGAGGTAAGCCTTTGGAAATGACATTTCTACAGCTGATTTCTATTCCTGTCAGGTCCAGATGCATTACTCAGAGGACAGAAAGGATAGCTCTTTGATGAATGTCTCTTTATGCTATGATCATTTGTGCAACAATTGTTGTTATTCTAATCTTAATTAACAACATAAATAATGTAAAGTATATAACATTTATGTTGCTTATCATCACACATTGCTTCCACAGTATCTTGAATAAATCATATATACTATACTGCGAATTATAAAGCCAGGTTAAAATAAATGTCAATAACTTATAGCATCTCTCTATTTGAAAAATGCCCTCTAGTTGAACAAGTGGTCAGGTGGTGCAATGGATGTCACTGTAAATCACTAGGTGCTGGGGGACGCTGTAATTCAAACCCATACTAAATCAGAAACTCAGGGCTCTTCTGTCAGCTCTAGTGGAACATATTATTACCAAACAGGCTGGAGAATGGGGATTGGTTAAGCACTGAAGTATGAAATATTTGGCATGGGAAAAAGTTGTTATAGGGTGGTATGCAGATGATATACAAATGTCATGTGTTTTTATGAAGCAGAACAGTGCAGTAGATCAATGGTTGTTGCCCTTATCTCTCTTCCTCATTGCTCAGAATGAGTCACTGCCATGATATGCCAACTCCTGGAAGTCAGCATTAAAGCAACATCAAAGTGCAATACCTTTAATATAAATCCAGCCATGGATTCCAACATCACACAAATGTCATCTTTCAAAAGGCATGAGGATTTGCCTCTGATAGGCTCATGCTGTGAGGCTATGCACTGAGACAGATACCCAGCCATAAGAATACATTTTGTCACATTTAATTTCAGTCTCATATCAAATGGAACCCACACCTGCCATTTACAGAAATGTAGTTAAATCCACTGAAGCAACACAACTTACGCAATCAAATACATTTTATATGCCAGCAACTTTAGTTGATTCAAATTTCTTCCATTTCTGTCTGTCTAGGTATGTTTTGTTTCATGTTGTTTCAATCATTAAAACAGGATTGTAATTTCATGGTTTGACTTTTGAATCAAGCCAATAAATGTTGATGGTAAATGTTTTTGGCTATTGGTAATAAGGAACGCAATGCTTTTCACTTTCTGAATGAGGAGGTTGGGTGTTTCGTATGTTTTGGCCCTTCACTGTGTCCACTGCTAAATCCTCATGCTGGAGAATCTATGTCAGCCTTCTGCTCCAAGTGCCCAACCCCCCTCCTTTATACAACACAGGAAACACTATATGGCATGAGGGCCATGTTCCCAGGTCACATATATAGATGATACAATTGACCAACATTTCAGCACTCAGCCCCTCTATATCCCTCATTCATGTTCCCTAGTGTACTTTCATATCCAAGAATGTCTCCATTCTTTTTCAATATCTTTTTTTAAAATCCCTTTACAGTCTCAAGACGGCCCTGCAGAGAAAGGTATCCACTGACACAGTCGACTTGTCTAGTATCCCTCTCTCCAGTCGAGACGTCCGCCACGTGGCCTTCTACCTCCAGAACAGTGGGGATGCAGTGGTTGCTGTAGACATCAGTTTCACTGAGCTCCAGGATGAGAACCTCCGTATCCTGCTACCCCACCTGGGGTCTCTGCCCAAACTCAACACCCTGGCCCTCAACGGCAACCGGCTGACCCTGGCCATAGTCAAAGACCTGACTGAGATTCTGAAGGACCCCAAGAAGTTCTCCAGCCTGGCTTGGATCGACCTGGGCAACAACTTGGACATTTTCACCATGCCCCAGCCTCTGTTAGTGGCCCTGCGACGCCGCTGCAGCCTGAAGAGCAGCCTGCCCACCATCTACGAGTACACAGAGGGCCAACCCTACTGCTACCACATGGAAACATCCATCGAGGAGCCCAGCCACTACGAGGAGGAGGAGGAGGCGGAGGAAGAGGAGGAAGATGAAGACGAGCTGGAGCCGTGGGGTATAGGAGGGGAAAAGGTTTCAAAGGACTTCACCCTACACTACTGTGAGAGGTGATGAGGTGACCTCCCCCTGGCTCGGCTCAGCTGTGTTTGAAAGGCCTTCCCACAGCTCCCAGTTCCTACCTTTCCCCTGTTGCCCCTCACACCATGAGCCCAGTCACCCATTGTGGCACGAGGGATGTTCAGCGCCACACATTCAGAGGCCCTCGTCCCGACACAGCCACCAAATAATTTCTCACCATCTATGAGTTAACCCACACAAGACCACCACAGTAACTGACAATTATGTTAGTGACTTACTGTGTTGGCGGATGGTGCTCCTGGGAATGAGGTGTGGTTTCATTGGAGGGGAGCTGGAAGAATTTTGGAAAAGGTGCTCTCTCTCTTGCCCTTTTAAAGTAGCAGCTGTGGAGCAAATCCCAAGGACTTCAGATCAGACGGCTTGATGGAGGAGCGGCATAATGCTGGTGGTCTAATGAGCTGCTGTTGGTTTGGAAGCAGCAGGTCCCAACCGGGTTCTCTACCAGGACTGTCACTGAGACTATCCCTGGCAGGCAGGGCCTAGCTCCACATTGTGTGTTCTCTGTTAATCTCTCAACAAAGGCTATGAAACAAGTTCAACAGACTATACAGCCGACGACCCGTCACGTGACGCCGGCAAAACTGCTAAGTCAAGACTTTTTGCTTTTTCCCCCCCTTTCGAAATGTCCACTTGTGAATACCTACGTAGATGTAAATGATGACACAAAACATGCTCTGTTGTATGTCCACAGGCTATTTTAGTGCACTGCTGATGAACAAAGCCATCTTATAAGACAACAGGTAGGACTCAAAAATAGACAAATGTTTTCACTGATTATTTGCGGTTGCCAAAACTCTGAGATTCACTAGTCCATTTAGCTATTTTAGTCATTATCATATCCACTACATTTCAGGATACATGTGGGATGAATGACAGTACAGCCAACCCCCAAGGGTGGACCCATTCATCTCTTTGTAGTAAGGGTACCCCAAATGTAAACACGTACTGACCACCCTTTATACCGTTATTAACATTTATATGTGCTTACTTGTTTGTTTGTTGTAAGGGAGGAACATAACTGTTACATTTCAGTTGTAGGTTAAATTGCCAGGGCTGATAATCAGCATGGTGTGCTGATGATAGTGCTGAATAGAAGTGGTCTTTGAAATAGCACATACTAGTCAAGTTGGGTTTACCAACTGCATCTGCACTCTACAGTGGGGAAAAAAAGTATTTAGTCAGCCACCAATTGTGCAAGTTCTCCCACTTAAAAAGATGAGAGAGGCCTGTAATTTTCATCATAGGTACACGTCAACTATGACAGACAAAATGAGATTTTTTTTCTCCAAAAATCACATTGTAGGATTTTTTATGAATTTATTTGCAAATTATGGTGGAAAATAAGTATCTGGTCAATAACAAAAGTTTCTCAATACTTTGTTATATACCCTTTGTTGGCAATGACACAGATCAAACGTTTTCTGTAAGTCTTCACAAGGTTTTCACACACTGTTGCTGGTATTTTGGCCCATTCCTCCATGCAGATCTCCTCTAGAGCAGTGATGTTTTGGGGCTGTCGCTGGGCAACATGGACTTTCAACTCCCTCCAAATATTTTCTATGGGGTTGAGATCTGGAGACTGGCTAGGCCACTCCAGGACCTTGAAATGCTTCTTACGAAGCCACTCCTTCGTTGCCCGGGCGGTGTGCTTGGGATCATTGTCATGCTGAAAGACCCAGCCACGTTTCATCTTCAATGCCCTTGCTGATGGAAGGAGGTTTTCACTCAAAATCTCACGATACATGGCCCCATTCATTCTTTCCTTTACACGGATCAGTCGTCCTGGTCCCTTTGCAGAAAAACAGCCCCAAAGCATGATGTTTCCACCCCCATGCTTCACAGTAGGTATGGTGTTCTTTGGATGCAACTCAGCATTCTTTGTCCTCCAAACACGACGAGTTGAGTTTTTACCAAAAAGTTATATTTTGGTTTCATCTGACCGTATGACATTCTCCCAATCCTCTTCTGGATCATCCAAATGCACTCTAGCAAACTTCAGACGGGCCTGGACATGTACTGGCTTAAGCAGGGGGACACGTCTCGCACTGCAGGATTTGAGTCCCTGGCGGCGTAGTGTGTTACTGATGGTAGGCTTTGTTACTTTGGCCCCAGCTCTCTGCAGGTCATTCACTAGGTCCCCCCGTGTGGTTCTGGGATTTTTGCTCACCGTTCTTGTGACCATTTTGACCCCACGGTGTGAGATCTTGCGTGGAGCCCCAGATCGAGGGAGATTATCAGTGGACTTGTATGTCTTCCATTTCCTAATAATTGCTCCCACAGTTGATTTCTTCAAACCAAGCTGCTTACCTATTGCAGATTCAGTCTTCCCAGCCTGGTGCAGGTCTACAATTTTGTTTCTGGTGTCCTTTGACAGCTCTTTGGTCTTGGCCATAGTGGAGTTTGGAGTGTGACTGTTTGAGGTTGTGGACAGGTGTCTTTTATACTGATAACAAGTTCAAACAGGTGCCATTAATACAGGTAATGAGTGGAGGACAGAGGAGCCTCTTAAAGAAGTTGTTACAGGTCTGTGAGAGCCAGAAATCTTGCTTGTTTGTAGGTGACCAAATACTTATTTTCCACCATAATTTGCAAATAAATTCATTAAAAATCCTACAATGTGATTTTCTGGGATTCTTTTTCTCAATTTGTCTGTCATAGTTGACGTGTACCTATGATGAAAATTACAGGCCTCTCTCATCTTTTTAAGTGGGAGAACTTGCACAATTGGTGGCTGACTAAATACTTTTTTTCCCCACTGTATGTTGCATTGCACTTAAAGAAATTTAAGAAATGTATTGACTTCAGATCCATTTCAAACTCTCATTGATGCATTAAACTGTTGCCAAGTCATCTAATAATTTTTCACAATGATATTTAAGAAGCTTAACCACACTGAAACCATAATATACATAAGGGTCATTCAGCAGACTGATATTAATGAAGTCAATGCATTGATAACAATAATTGAATACCAAAGTAATATACTTGTATCATCTGATTGAATATGTGTGAAGGTGTTTAATGTGTGTTTGCTGCTGTCTAATGTCTGATTACTGTTGTAACTGTTTGTATTATTGCTTTGACGTTGTGTCCTTTGTCGAACCATGCAATTACCGTAATTATTCTAATTGTGAAAATGAGCACACTATCCTACTCTGCTGGAACAATTAGGGGACACACAAGAGGAAGGTATTAATAAACTAATGACATACCACTACTGTCATTGACATTACATGTACACTGAAATGTAGCACAGGAAAGTGCTTTGTATGTAAGGTATGTGTATGTTTAAAAAATACAAGATCAAAGGTGTTGTAATGGGAGAGAACTATGACAGAAAAAAACAATTCTCACACTGTATATATGTTAGGGTTGTGTGTCATTGTTATACTATTTGTCAACTGGGTCGTTGTACGTATATCTCATGCCATGTCTTGAATTACATTTTACTGCCAATAAAAACAGTGAATCGAAGCAACTGTTTGGAGGCTGAAGTTGACCCGAAAGAGAATGTAAGATCAGCATCAGGGTCACAAGAGCCTTAATCATTTCTATGTTAAAGTCATGATTGAGTGTTCAAGTGGGAGCTGGTATAAGCAAGAGAGGATGTAATTTATTAACTGTGATGAGCTAATTGTTTGTCTCTATGGGTTGTTTTGACCCGTCTACAACTGCTCGTTTCAAATTTCAAGTTTTATTAGTTGTATGTATCGGATACACATAGTATACACCGTCCAACGGAATGCTTACTTGCTGGTTCCTTCTCGACAATGCAACAACAATAAGAAATAATAAAAGATAAAAATACGAACATAAAGTAAATGGCTCAGTAGAATAGAATAAATATTTTAAAGGCACAATATATAGTCCAATATTTACGTGTTTTCAGGGAGGGGGGATTGAGGGGCAAGTGTTTCAATTGTGCAGTATTCATAATAAGAGTCTTGTAGCAGCAACAGTTGTGGTGTGTGTGTAGTGTGTCTGTCTGTCTGTCTGTCTGTGTGTGTGTACGTGCATGTGTGTTAAGGTGCAGAGAATCAGAGCAGGTGGTCAGTCCAGTTGAACTGTTCAGCAGTCTGATGGCTTGTAGATAGAAACTGTTTCTGAGACTGTTGGTATCAGACCTCATGCTCTGATACCATCTGCCCGACGGTAATGGAGTGAACAGATTGTGACGGGGGTGTGTGGGTTCCTTGATGATGCTGCGGGCCTTCCTCAGGCTCCATTTAGAGTATACGTCCTGGATGGGTGGGAGCAGGCCCCAGTGATGTGCTGGGCCGTCTTCACCACCTGCATTGAGGGCCTTGCGGTCGTGGACGGAGCAATTTCCGTACCAGGCCATGATGCAACCGGTCTGGACGCTCTCGATGGTGCAGCGATAGTATTTGGAGTGGACCCGGGGTGGAATGCCGAATTTCTTCAGCCGCCTTAGGAAGTAGAGACGCTGTTGCGTCCTCTTGACAAGAGTGGTGGAGTTGTTGGTCCATGTCAAGTCCTCCGTGATGTGGAAGCCGAGGAACTTACAACTGCTGACTCTCTACTGCAGTCCCGTTGATGTGGATCGGGCCATGTTCCCTCCTCTGCTTCCTGAGGTCAACAATCAACTCCTTTGTTTTGCTGACGTTGTGGGAGAGGTTGTTGTCCTGGCACCACAATTCCAGTTCACTTACCTTCTCCCTATAGGCTGACTCATTGTTGTTGGTTATCATGCCTAGAACCGTGGTGTCGTCAGCAAACTTGATGATGGCGTTGGTGTCGTGCAAAGCCACGCAGTCGTGGGGGAACAGGGAGTACAGCAGCGGGCTGAGGACACATCCCTGGGGGGCCCCTGTGTTGAGTCATTTTGGAGGAGGCGTTGTTACCAATCCTCACAGCCTGTGGTCTGCCCGTCAGGATGTCCAGGATCCAGTTGCAGAGGGTGGTGTCCAGACCCAGGGCTCTGGGCTTGGTCTCGAGCTTGGAGGGAACAATAG